ATTTCACATCATGCATTCTGATCCCACTTACCTCCCTGTCCCCTTGAATCCACTCTCTGCTCTTGTAACCAACCCAAAACAAAACCAAATAAAAAAAACAAGCAAAACAGAGAACTAAAACAAAAAGAAAAAAGAAAGAAAGAAAAAGAAAGACAAATCATGTTGTGGAAGTTGTAGTGTGGCCCCGTGAGTCACACAATTTATCCTTTAGTCCATACATCTTTACTTGTAAGTGTTCATTGCTGAGTCATTGGCCTGGTTCGAGGCCCCTGATTTCTGCTGCATCTCTGATAATGGGCTCTCACTGGGCCTCCTCCTGAATATCCTGTTATTGTCCTGGGTCATGGATATCCTGCTGTTTTGGACCTATAAGGTTTGTCCCCTTCACATGCTCCAACAGTCCATAAATTTGGTGGATGTTGATGTGGGCCAAGTCTTCTATAGTCTGAATTCAAGTATCTGTAGTTCTTCCTTTGTCTCTCAAGCGCTTATGAAAAGACCGTCCAATGCTGCCTCTCCTTCTCTCCTTTTCAATAGATGGGTTAGGGATTCCCAGAGTAGGATACAGACAATTGATACCTCCTAATAATTAATAATTCCTGAGGGTTGGTAGCTGTTTCCAAAGTCTTCTCTAATGGACACTTGTGTGTGTGTGTATGTGTGTGTTTATGCATGTGAGTGTGTGTGTGACTGTCTGTGTGTTGTGTGTACGTGGTTTAACAGCTGTTCTAGTAACTAGTTGTCTCAAATATTTTACAGTGTTGACCTTTATACCTTTTCAGGTGTAAAAATCCCATTTTTATATAGCATATCCTGGTCATGTGATATATGGATTATAGTCCTTTCCTTTTTGGAAGCGGCTAATAGGATATCATCCACATAAGGAATAATATAAGCCTGAAAGAAAGGCTGCTTCACAGGCTTTAAAGCCTTTCCTACGTAGTATTTATACATAGTAGGGAAGTTTGTCATATCCTGAGGTAATGCAGGCCATTGATATCAGAACTGAGGTTCTTTATGATTGAGTGGAAGAACAGAAAAGGCAAGATGCACCTCATTATCAGGATGAATATGTACAGAATAGAAGCAATTCTTTGAATCCAAAACTCTTAATAGCTAATCTTTACGAAGAGCTGTGGGTGTAAGGAAACCAGACTGTAAGGCTCCTATTTGCCATATGGTGGCATTAACACTATGTAAGTCAATCAACAGTCTCCATTTGCCAGATTTTAATTACAAAAATGGGAGAAGAGGGGGTCCTATGTGTCCATTTGCTAACTGCTGTCCAACTAACTGGTGAAGAGCCTTTGACTTTTCTTTAGAGAGGGACCATTGAGGTGACCACAGAGGCTCACTGGATTTCCTTGTAATTTTTAGAGATAGTATTTTTTTCAGTGACCCCCCCCCATGAAAAACCTAATCTATGTTTACGATTCTGTCCTTGTGGGAATATAGATTTAGGGACCCCCTGCAACTCTTTCTAATCCTTTCCCTTTTGGTTCCCCATTCTGTGAAGACCAGGCAGCAATAAAGGGAGGGATACAGATTTCTGAATTCATCTATTGTAGAAAGTCTCTTCCCCAGAGATTAAATGGACCATGAGTAACAAGTCTGTAAGACTGCCGTTCTGTCTTCTGGACTTCTGTGGTGTCATTCTGTATCACTTTGTTCAGCTTTCCTAGAGCTCATAGCTCCCAACCCTATTGAGGTTGGATTCACCTCCATAACAGGCCGGTGCGGGGGCATTCTTGTAGTTTATGCTCCGAGGGTTAAGAAGGGTTACCTGAGTATAGTTCCCATGAATTCAAGCTGTGTACAATCACAAGGGAAAAACACATGTGACAAAAACATGTTTTTCCTCAGGGGCATATAAAGGATAGTCTAGACATTTAATAGATTAATAACAGCAAGCAATATTGAGTAAAACTCATCTGGGAGGAGCACAAAACCCACTCCAAGAACAACTTTGTGTTTTGAAGAAACTGAGGTCATTAGACTCTTTCTTGTCTTACTGCTTGGCATGTTCTCACAAGCACTCAGAATTGTCCTCACATAACTCCATGTTCTGATATGCCGCCCTGATGAAGATTCCTGGAAAGAGTAGAATTAACTGGTTTTTATGATCTGAATTTGGGATGTCCTCTACAGGTTCATATATTGAGGGCTTAGATACAAGCTTTGAAGAAGTTACTAGGCCCTAATGGCTCTGCTCCAGTGGTCTAATCCCTTGCGAGATTTAGAATACGATACATTATTTGAACATGTTGGAACTATGAGGTAGGTCCTACATAGAGGAAATAGATCACTAAAAAAAACATATTTTGTCCTAGCCACTCCCCTTTCTCTGCTTCTGTAGGTAGTAGTTTTCCTGTCCTGATCACGTGCTCCTCAGCCCGGTAGCTGCTTCCAAATTACCACACAGACACTTAATATTATTTATAAATGCTTGACTAATAATGCAGGCTTGTTACTAGCTAACAGTTACATTTAAATTGACCCATTTCTTTTCATCTATGTATTGCCACGTGGTTTGTGGTTTTTCCTGTCCTTCAGCATGTCTTGCTTCCAGGGTGGCTAGTTGGCGTCCCTCTGACTCCACCCTTCTCCTTGTTCTCAGTTTGGCTTTCCTGCCTAACTACCTGCCTTGCTACTGGCCTGTCAGTTTTTAAATTAACCAATGAGAGTAATGAAGAGTCCAAACATACAGAAATGTAGGTTCCAAAAACAGAAATGCGGAAATATAGAAATATAAAGTTGTAAACCCAAACACATTTTGGTAAAAATAAATAAATAAAGCCGTCAGCCAGTGTTCACCTTTAACAAACACTTTCTTGCCTTTAGAGTAGACACCCTGGCAGCCACTGTGTACAGAGATGAACTTTTAGCAATTGTCTCCTGCCTCCCAGCTTCCCAGCTAGGCAGGTACTGGGGACAAAGGTTAGCTTCTAACCATTGCCTCTGTGAGACCCTCTGCTTGTATTCCCTTAATTTTCAGCTGTCTCCCTACACCCTATGTGCCTCTACTCTCTGCCTTGCATTCTGTCAGGGAAAATGAAAGCAGCTGTGTCAGTCACAGGCATTTGCAAACATCCTAAGTTAACATCCTATAACCAAAAGTTGTAAAACTTAAAACGTAATGTGACTTTAAGCCTGATCTCAAGGTTGTAAAAGCTCTTTGATCCACACCTGGTGCTTGGTTTTACTGTAAAACGAGGCCCCGAACCAACCCCCATTGCCACAGGTATACAAGCCCATCTGGCTGCAATCACAGCTAGCACTTTAACAGCTACAACTTTGTGTGCCTCATGGTGATCTTTTTTCTTTTTCTGGACTAAAGTTTGCTTCTGGTTTAATAGACTTTGGTGGTCTGTCCCTCATTACTGGGCGACGATGCTTGGACCCAACAGTAATACACATTCACAGTGTACAGAGGATTATCCCACAACAGCTTCCTGTCCGTTTAGTGAGTATTCCCATGACTGTGAGGCTCAGCTTCACCAGACCCCTGGATCGGCAGTGAAATCTCGGAAACTATAAGTTAAATTAAATTTTACTCCTTTAAATCACATCAGGATTCTGTTACAGTTAGAAAAAGTTAACAAAAAATTCCAGCTGACCTAATAGAAATATATCCACACCTAGAAATATATCCAAAGAAAAGAGTATTAGTCTGTCAAAGAAATAGTCCTCAGATTCATTGCAAAAAAAATTTATAACAGCTGGAATAACTCCAAGTGTCATAGTCGACTTCCTGTGGCCTGCTTATCAAGATGTGGACAGCACCATGTCTACCTGCATGCCACTATATTGCATCATGAACCATGCATTTGGAGGGATTTGGGTTTAGTACTGTGGGTTTGAAAGGCAGTGGAATGCTTTCAGTACTGCTTCAAGGACCATACTAGTTGGCGTGTGGAAGACAGTGGTGCTAAGAGTTATTTGAACTATGAGGGGGCTCACTCAAGAGGTTTCAGAGGAGAAGAATTTTAGTATGTTGCCTACAAATAATTCTTGTGGTATGTTAGTGTAGAAAGTGGCTGCTTTTTGCTTTTTGTCCAAAGAGTCTGCCTGAGGCTAAAGTGAAGAATATTGAATTAATTCCTTGGCAGAGGAAATCTCAAAATAGCCTAGTATAGGCTCTGTCGTGTGGTTCTTAGTGGTAACTCTAATGATGATATATAATGAACTTTCCCTCCTTCCCCCTAATCCTTCTATAATCCCTCCTCGCCCTCTTTCAAATTCACATCTTGTTTTTGTTAATTGTTTTTACATACATTTAGGTGTTATGTTTATATTCTAAATACAACCTGATCAGTCTGTATAATGTTACTTGTAGTTTGCCTAAGGCTGCTGAACAAGAGTGCAGCTCCTCTCCATGGGGCCTCTTGGCTTTCTTTGTGGGACTGCAGCTGGATGCCAACAGTAAGCATTCCAGACACGTGGAAGAAGAGTAGAAGCTATCCATCCGTTGAGAATGGGGCCCATTTTGCCATAGCCTCTTGATCAGTCCCAGAGTCTATACTGATACAATAGGAGGGCACACTGAACATCTTTCAGAAGAAGTGTCAAGGAATTTGCATTTATTTTTATTCTATTGTAGTCTTTTGGGTACAAATTATATTCTCTCCTATGAAAATGCCTTCTTTCCTCCATGCTGCCTCCCCAAATCCCATTCAATAATGAAAATGTTTGCAAAATGCATATACAATAGTGTGTCAAGTCCGCTTTTGTGACTTTGTTCCTTTCAGCCTAAGCAAGTACAATTACTGGAAGCAGTTTTACATTATTACTCTATGACCAGTTTGATTGGGGAAAACAATACACATTTACATTTCTTTTCAAGATAGCGTTGAGTCGCTTGTGAACCTTCTGTGCCCAGGCACCAACCTTTCTTGGAGGACATGTTCTTACATCTTCCTGGGGCCTTACAGTTCTGCTAAATGTCGCACCACTTTGTAACACATTGCTTTTTCTTTAGCTTTCTGTAGTCCTTTCCTCACTCTTCCGCCATTCCTACCCGCTTTACTGTGGTCTTCTTATCTTCTACCTGCAATGCAGAACCAAAGCCAATATTTATTCATCAGCTACTGTGGCATTCTGTCCTAGTGCCAAATTCTTTTCTGGCTTCTGGGACAAACTAGCCCAAAGATTCGTACCTTATTCCATGCATAATTCTGTGACTGAGGCAGAATTTAAGGCTCACCTGAGCTGGTTTATTAGGTTCCATGCAGCTCACCAGGATGACTGGGCTGGTTAGTTGATGCTGATAAGAATCAGACATCGGGGACTGTCAATAATGTGGGTCTTGACATGCAGCGAGGCAACTTTAGACTTCCTACACCCACACGACTGTGTTATAAGAAGTATGCCAAGGGAATAGAAGCAAAAGACACCATTTTTATTGCTGGAAAGAGGTTGGAAATGGGTCCGATATTTCCACTGCTTGTTATTGGTAATCAGCAATCACAGAGCCAGAGGAGGGGATCTCACACAACAAGCAGAAAAACATCAAGGACTTTACAATCATCTTCAAGGTGACAAGTCAATGAAACAATGAGATGATAATTATAACCACAACATCATATCTATCCACTCCCATTCTATGACTCCCAGTGAAGCAATAGTCTCTGGGATTATTGCATCCAAAGATACTCCAGAGCTTCCAGCATCTTCTCAGAGCTACCGAAAAGCACATCTGTGACCCAGGTATGTAGTCCTGGCATATCCTCTGGGCTGTGGGACCTGTGACTTAGTTCTTACCAGCTCTGACCCAAACCTACATCTTATTATTTCTTAGCTGTAGGCTTGTATCACTAGGAAAACAGAATGGCACTTAGTAAGTTGGCCTGGCTTTTTTCACTTGTGGCTCTTCTATCCTTTCAATCCTTAACTTTAACTTGTATGCTAAGCAACTTGCTCAAGGTGCAAAAGGAGATGTTTTACCCAGCAGTACTTGTTCCTCAAATTGATAGTATCTTAGAAGTCTGGGCAGAGGTAGGGAATGGAGTTTGAGGTGTAATCCCTGGGTGCACTGTGGCAGAGTGTTGTTGATATCACTTGGTCCTCTCCTAGTGATGTGAATGGATTCTAAAGGTAAACAGCAAATTTGTCTCAGGAGTCACCTCTTTTGGGCTTTTTTTTTTTTCTGTATGGGCAGTGGTCCCTGATAGCAAATATAGCATTTCCTTAAATGAATGGACATGTAGTAGATACCAACTGATATGAATTCTGTCAGCCGTGTGGCCAATGATGTCTGTATATTTATCAGTTTACTGTTATTATAAAGAACCACTAAGGCTATATAACTTATAAGGACATCAGGATTATTTGGCTCATGGTTTTGGATGCTGAAGCCCAAGCAGTGTGATGCCTACCACTTACTGTAAGGGCTCTTCCAGTTGCATAACCTTAGTTCTTGATGCCTGGGAGAGGGATCGGTCATGGCAGGACAGAGGCACCAGAAATGACTGCAGCTGGGCCCTTCCTGATGAAGGCCTTACCTGCTCACATCACTACACTGGGAACAAATTTCCAACTCTTGAAATCCAGAGAGTTGGACCACATCCAATCCACAGCAGTCTGACCATCCTCTGATGTCCTCAATCCTCAAAAGATACTGAATTACCCTGTTTGCAAAATTGAAGTAAAAATTGACTCAAGCCCCTATCTCTGTTTCTGACATTTCACAGATGGCTCTTATTGGGGGTGGGTCCCTGATTTCTTATAATTGCTGATCTTGTTCTCAAGGTGCACCAATTGAAATTGTTTTTCTCTTTGGTGCTAAATTGATTCAAACCTGGATCATCTCCACCACAAATAAAATGAAATGAGCTCTCTCACAAATCAGATGTATGAGCCCAATACTTCTCCAACCTCTGTTGAGTCTGCCTTCCCCTGAGTTTCTTTGGGTGATTCTATGTCAGCCATAATGGATAAAATGCCTCATAGCACGGTGTACCTCAAGATGCAAGTGTGATAGGGATCAGCCAGGCTTCCTGTTAAAAATCCAAGCTCTGATTCTGATTGGGCCACAGGTTCTACGTTTCTGATGATCCGTGGACCATCCTAGTATTGTAGATTCACTGAGTATGCTAGGAGCTAGCAGGCACAGGCTGCCAGTGGCTCACCCTGAATGTCGGACACACTCTTAGCAAGCCTTAGTCAGTGGTGGTGCCCCTCCGAGCCTTCCTACACATCTAATCTCAGCCCCCTGTCCTCCTTATCTTTGTATGTCTCTTAGTTTCTCTATGTTTGTACCACTTGCTCCTTCATCGTTTGACGGATCAGTCTTATCCTGTCCCCAAGCTCACCCCACTGCACTTTAAGACATTCTTCTAATCCCTGGATGTCTATCAAAAGGGTAATTCCAGGGTAGTACTTCTAAACCATAGTGTCCTAAACCTTCCTATTTCTCATTGACATTTGGAGATTTCTTTTTCAGGGTACCTTTAAGCCAAAAGAGATATTTGGTGATTCTGCTTACTAAGAGTTGAATTGAAACAAACTAGTAGTATGTCTTGCCTGGGTCTGTATTCCTATATTTCACTCAAGAACTCTACCTCAGAGCCTCCATTTGAATGTGCTGAGGGGCCCTACAGCTCTCTACTTAAAGGGCTATGCTTCTAAGCTAATGGTTGATAGAAATGTGTTGGTCAACCCTTCCCTTCAGCAAGGTAAGAAAACACTACCAGGTATGTCCAGGTTTTTGACAATATAACATAGCATTGTCATTTATGAAGTTCATGCTTGAGAACCATGAAATTGATTGAATTTTTTAAAAAAGACCCATAGTTTTGTAAGTTTATGATTTGTGTTGGACTGCACAGTTGTCCTCAGTCGCATGTATACCCTTGCTGCAGGCTGGACATGCCTGGGACTAAGCTGGTGCTTGTATCTGTTCCAAAATGAGACTGAATGCCATAGGAGAGGAGATTTCCGGGTTGTCTGTCCCACTACCCATAGGAATCTGGTGCAAACTGGCCATAACACTGCTCTACTCAAAGTCAGTGGGATTTCCAAGGAGTTTGGCAGTTAGATGGAATAAGTAATAAAGTGACTCATCTCTTATCAGAAGCTCTGTCTAGGTGGAGAGCTGAGAAATTATCTGAAAGCTAGGTCATCCAGAAGCCCAACTGGCTTCCGGTTAGGAGCCCAACCCCGCATCACCCTGAGTCTTGGTTCTGCCTCTCCGAGCGCTTTTGAAACTTCTCACTGTCAGAGCAGTTGTGTCCAGCTTCTGAGATGGAACCAGAGATCTAGAACTTTGAAAGCTCCTCATTGCTACCAAGATCCTGCCAGAGCTGAACGTATGGCCCATGGGTCTACTGCACCTCAATTCCTTGGGAACTTCTCAGTACCGCAGCTTTGGCCCCCCACTTCACACATACTAAACCAGACCCTGTATTTTAACAAGGATGCTAGTTAATTAATATGCACTTTAATGTTTGGGAGGATCCCCTGTCCTAGATTGGATCACAGAATGTCATTCTTCCCAACATGTCGCGCGCGCGCGCGCGTGTGTGTGTGTGTGTGTGTGTGTGTGTGTGCGCGCGCATGTGTGTGTGAATGTGTGTGTGTATCTGTTGGGGGGTGTTTCTGTGACCACCACAGTCAGCAGAGTAAGGCAAGCGTGAGGCAAGAAGGAAGTCCAGTTCACCACAACTTAGTAGCCAGTGTTGGTACTTCCAGAGTCGGACACCAGGCGGTTTATTTTAGGCATATTTAAGTTCAATACAATTTGGAAAAAAGTTCCCCTGTTGTAACATAATCCCTTGTGCACTACAAAGCTTAAGATAAAACTACATCGAAATTTTTTTCAAAGTACATGCCACCACTTACACTAAGTAGGGCTTTGTAGTTAGACTACATGTTCATCTTAAAGACTGAGGGGAGGATCTTGTACGGACTTGGTCATACAGATAGCACAAAGGTCACTAGGCTAGTAATCACCTTCAGTCCTGTTTATTAGGGCCTGGGAGGTCAGGTGTGGCCTGGCCCTATAGATAGCATGGAGGTCACCTAGGCTACTAGCCACCTCCATTCCCAGCCTCTGGGAGAAAATAGGTTATATATTTCTTCCTTTGAAGAGACTACTCTGCATGTTTAACATTCCTGCTTGGCCTAGGGCTTATCTGTGAGCTTAACTGTGTCCCCAGTAGTCACCAACATCCTTGGGAGTCCTTAAGAGGCCAGGGAACTTTGATAGCTTGTGTAAACATTTATATATGGTAGCCAAAAGGAGTTGCTGTATTGTCAAAAAAGCATTAAGGACCTGGATTTGAATGTCTCAGCCATGTGATCCTAACTCAAAAACTAGAGACAATTCTCAATTCCAGTTCCTTTACCTATAAAAGTGTAGTAAAAGCTCTTCATGTTCTTAGCAGTCTCATGATGAGAATTTGTTGGCTCACACATGCCAAAGATTTAAAAAAATTTTTTAATTTATTTTTATAATAAGATATAATAAAATAAACAAAAATGAGTTTGACAAAACAAACAAGCAGAAGTAAAAGAGCCCAGGAGAAGGCTCAAGAGTCAGAGACCCTCTTGTTCAAACACTCAGGAATCCCATAAAACACTGAACTGGAAGCCATAATATATATGCAGATGACCTGGCACAGACCCATAAAGGCCCTTTGCATGCTGACTCAGTCTCTGCGAGTTCATATGAACTTTGATCATGTTGATTTAGAAGGTATTGTTTTCTTGGTGTTCTCCATACCTCTGGTTCTGACAATCTTTCTGCCTCCTCTTTTGTGGGATTCACTGAGCCCCGATAGAAGGGATTTGATAGAGACATCCAGTTTGGGGCTAGATGTTCCAAAGTCTCTCACTTCCTGCATCATAATGTCTGGGTGGGGGTCTCTGTATTTGTTCCCATCTGCTGCAGGAGAAAGCTTCTTTGATGATGGCTGACCAAGGCACTAATCTGAGTATAGCAGAATATCATTAGGAGTCATTTCACTATTCCTTCCTTCCTTCCTTCCTTCCTTCTTTTCTCTTTTTAAAAAAATTGGTGGTACAAACTTTGTGCTACCTTTGGCCTAGCATATCTTGCAGGCAGGACACCATTGTAGATCAAAGGGCTTGGAGTTTACATTTATTTTTTTTTTGGTAGCATGCAGAGTACCTTCCTGTACCAAAGATGCTGGACTGTAAGGGTGAAGGCTCTACATAGGTACCAGCTCAATTTTTTCCATGTTCAATGAGTTGTATAGGTGTCTTCAGCAATGGGGCCTTGCTGTCACTGTGTAGAGAGCAACCTATAGTATATAGTATATT